CAAACTCGTAACTCACTTTTAAAAAGAAACAGTTATAAATTGTCAATTTTCTGGAGAAAAAAATGGAATATCTTAAGCATTTCTGCTCTGAGAAAGGTTTAAAGGCTATCTTTAAGATTCTGGCATGAATCCCCTCTTACTATGGAGGCTAACTTAAAATCACGCCAACAGTCCCTTTAACATGAATGAAATAGATATGTTTGCGTGTCCTATAGTTGTCAAAACCAATTTGACACAGAAATATTTCGGACGGAGGGAGTTATTATTATTTTCCAGGGTTGAGAGGGGTGAGAGGGGGAATACAATAACACAGAAACTTTTATCAATAATTTGTTGAACAAAACAAATCAATCATCTTATTAGTTCATTGAAAATCTCTTGTATAATTTGGTTTTCTTGGTTTGGGAGATCCGGGGTTGATTCAGGAGTTCAGGGGTTCAGAGGTTTACTGATTCAGGAGTTCCGGGGTTCAGGGGTTCAGGGGTTTACTGATTAAGGAGTTCTGGGGTTCATGGGTTGATTCAGGAGTTCAGGGGTTCAGGGGTTCTGGGATTCAGAGGTTGTTCAATGGTTCAAAGAGGCTAAGAGTTGAGTAATTCAGGGGTTTGTGGGTTCAGCTGCTTGCTCAACAAAACAAATCAATCATTTTAAGAAGTTCATTAAAATTCTCTTGTACGTGTAGTTTTCTTTTTATGTTAGTTTGGTTTTTCTTCAGTTTTCTATTTTGATTTGTTTGTTAGGTCGAAGCCGATACTCATCAGATTAAGTGACTTGTGAAGTTGTGGTTAGTGTTGTTATTCGTTTTGTTCGTTTTTGGTTCCGTTTTTTGCATATATTTTCTCACAAAATTTCTAAACATTCGCTATTGTTACACTAGGCCAAAGTTTGACCCTAAGAGAAAATATATGCAAAAAACAAATGTGTTAAAATCATCGATTTTTGGGTCGTTTTCGTTTTTTCGGATAAAAATATTGCATTATTTTTCCTTTGCATCTCTCTTCTTCGCTTGAATACAAAATGGTGAATTTGCTACCAATTTTTACATTAATATGATGGTTAGAGATTTAATTTTATTGTTCTCAAAAACTATACTAATTTTAAAATACAATAAAGGTTAATTTCACTCTTTGACTTATTAATTTCCAGAATAGGGAAAAAAGAAGAACAAAGCTTTGAAACTTTCACTAAAGTGTTCCATCCCTTAAAGGGACTGTAAAGGAAAAATGAAAGGGGGTATAGGCTGAAACCTAAGAACTTCATGATTTGATCCTGACCTATAAGAGTTATTTGATGTTCCTGCCGCGAGAAATTTATATAAAACTGGGCCAAAATCATAATGCAGCAAATACGCAACCAATCTGAAAACTACGATATCCCAGAGGAAATCTCGATCAACTCCTGAAGTTTTTAGGTTTCAGCCTATACCCCTTTCATTTTTCCTTTACAGTCCCTTAAACTAAAATTATTTTCACCATTTAATTGAAATCAATTGGACTTTTTCATTATCAAGTTGTTTAAGCATATCTGTAATATTAGGGGTGTGAATGAGGTATTACAATAAGTAATGTTTATCTCAATATTCTTACTTTTCCTGTCAACGTAATTTCAAGTGTCCCTGAATTTAAAGAGGTGAAGGCCCGATTCACAATGGTAGCCTTCAAACCTTTTTTTGAGGAAGATATCGTTGTTTTTTATCTGGACAAGTTGACAAACTCCGTCATTTTTGAACAGAAACTGCAGAATCTATGCTTTCTTCTCTATTGTTTGGCTCTAACGTAGGTTCACAACATTAATGGTACCGTTGTGAATAAGACATGACCCTTTTTTAAATGAAGGGTTACTTTAAAAGTCCATCGACAGGCTCTTTCATTTGTAATTTTAAAATGTTGGTTTATCCTTCAATTACCTTTACGTTCTTGAACCCATGATAACTTCAAGTACTCGATCCAACCCTCGCGAGATTCCTCCCTACACTCCCATCTAGATCCCTGCCTCCCTCCCCCTCCCTCTCCAGATCCCTCCTGATCCCTTCCTCCCTCCCCTCCAGATCCCTCACTAGCATTCTAACCTTTCATCTAGTTGAAACCAAGGAATCCTCTTAAAACCTCTCAGTACGGGAGTATGTCCCCCCTACTTCAACAACAACACCCTCTTTTTCCCTTTTCCCCTCTTCTCACATACCCCCCCCCCCCTAAACTATCTCCTTGATATATCAAACATCCCCTCACTTATCTTATTCTGAAATCTCTTTGAACTCTATAAAATAAACTATATAGTGTCTAAAACCTTAGAAAAACAATAAAACAGTTATTTTGCATTTGTTGCTCTAACAATTTAAAAAATCATGCACGTACCTTCTTTTTGGAAAATTAATGTTTCAGTTTTCTAAATTTTCTAAATAAAAAATTGTTTGATCTGTTTCCCACTACCCCTCCCCCTTTAACCGGAAACAATTTATGGAAACTCAGATTAAAGTTTGATAATGTTCAAACTCTACTTGGATTGTTCATGTTCAATGCTCATCCTACTAACTTTATAATTTACAAGATACTGAGTTACTCACAAAAGATGAGACTTTCTAAAGACGACTGTGAGCCATTTATCAAGTTTATATTATATCTACAGAGTTCAAGGTCATTATTTACCGGTAAAATGGAAAAATGTTAAATCAAAACTTGCATTTTACAAAGAAAAATTATAATTCCAGCGGTTGAAAGAAATAGTATTATTAATATTCGTGTTTCCATTGGTTGAAGACATAACATTTATATATATAAAAATCATTTTTTATTTCTTATTCTAAACTGCAGATAGTCTAAACCCTTTGTCAACCACTACCGCTGTTTTTTTTCTCCAAAGAATATATTTTTTATAAAGACCCTGTTTCTTAAGTAGTTCCTCGAAGTAAAGATTTGCCATGCGCGCTACAGAGAAATGTTAGTTAAATTGAATTTAGTGTTCGTTTAATAAAATGCACTAGAACATTTCCAATAAATCACACAAATAACATTATCAAAATTAGAATAACTTCCACGGAAAAAAAATTCTTTCTTATATGCATTAGTAATTAGTAAAAAATTTGAATCAAACATATAAATTCTAATACATTCGTAACTGTTTATAATTAGATATATATATTTATCTATGAGAATATATCTAGCCCTGCTATTCAATGCTTCCTCTATCTCTAATGGTTGAAAACATGCACTATTACTTGGTAGTGATCAATCTTTATATATCCTATACAGGCTTTATCTTTAGACTTAAAGCGTACCCTCCCAACCCCTTTATACACCCCCCCTCCCCTTTCTTTTATACCATGGTTGATCCCCCCCCCCTTCTATTCTACTTCTATAGGGTGAGGCGGAAATCGGAACTGAAAAATTGATGTGCGCAAATTCCGTTTCTTACGCACACATTATTTTGCACGGAAATCCGATCAATATTGCATGAAATTTTGCTTCTGGTGGAAGCCTTACAATACGATATATCCTAGTCTCCCCATTCCTCTAAATACTCACAAGGTTGAGAGGAAGGGTAAGGCGAAGGAAGAATGGAAGAAAGGGTAGAAAGATGTAAGGATGAAAGAAAGGAAAAAGAGAAGAAAGAATTAATGAAAGGATAGAAATGTGCAAGGATAAAAGTAAGTATAAAGAGAAGAAAGAATGGATGAAAAGATGTAAGGATGAATAAATGAATGGGTTCGGTAGAAAGGAATATTTGACAGTGTCCGCTGTTCAATTTGTTGAGTTATGTGGCGACCGTGTTTTCAGGTTCTGATTGAACCAAGGATTTATTCGGTCACTAATCTTTATTTCTTGTCTTTATATCCCCGGGAGGAGGGGGGGATATTTCACTGGTGGGAGGGGAGGGGGGAGTCTAGTGTCACGAAAACTTTCATGTTTATTTAAACAATTTTTAATTTAATGAAACCAATTTTTTAACTTTAAAAGCAAAAATGGTTTTATCTCATTTAAGAAATACGTAAAATAGTGCGCCTACTCTTATTTTTTTATTCTCATATATTTGCAACTTTTCTTCTTCTCTTAAAACTTAAAAAATAAGATATTTGCACGAACTATAAACGGTTTTATCATTATAAATGATTTAATTCAACAAAATATAATAAGAAATAATTATTTAATGTAGACAGAGATTTTTTATCGAACCTCTATGAAAACTACAGGCGAGAGAAGAGAGGTGAGAATTTTTTTCTTGAAATTAAAGTTCATAATCTTTTTAAGTCACATAATACCATTGAGTTTTTTAAAATAAATTTCTAAAACTTTTTTATTTAAATAAAGTACAAAAGAATTATTGAAATGTTTCCAATAATTGAATGAATAAATAGTTTAAGAAATAGTAAGAAACACTAGAGAACATTAGTTGAATAGTTAGAGGTTTAGGAGAAAGAAGTTAATTAAAGAAAAATTCTAGGAAATACAATGAGCAGTATCTCGGATAGAGTATCTTAATACACAAATCAAAGCTTTGTCAGATACTTTCTGTGTCATGTAGAAACATTTTAGTTCATAAACATTTATAAACATTTTTGGTAATTTGTCATTTTTGTTTAAATACTAAGAATGAGTGTTCAAATCGAAGATCCTAATAATCTATTTGAATCTAGGTATTTATTAATAAGATTGAACAATGTCAGTATTCAACTTTTTTCTGCTAATAGAACCCAAAAACTGTGGAATAGGAAGACGACATTTAAGCAATAATTAAGCCTGCTTTATGGTGTTCTAGAGCAAATAGTTTTACTGCAGTAACCTATCTAATCGCCTATTAACTAAAATGGATCTGTTAAAAAAGATATTTTATGTTTATAGAAACCCCCTCTCTTTCACTCGTATTTCGTGTAGCGATTAGAAAAATTATTATTTAAAAAAAATATTACGATTTGTTTTTTTCGTGCATTTTTGATTTTAAGTCTGAATTAATATAACACACTTATCATACAATCAGCATTCAATCTTTTATTCTTAGGAAAAAAACTTTAAAGAAAATAACTTGTATGAAAGATTCGTCGAACCCAGGTAAAACAAAAATAATTTCAAGTAACTCTCAGATCATAAAAAAAAATATTGTGAAATATCAACTTTACATGAATACGTTGAAAAGTTATCGATGATGGTTGTAATATCTGAATGGTTTGTTTGGAATTAAAATTTATCGTTTTACTATCCGAGTCTATGTTGCAACTTTCTAGATACGTTCTTCGGTATGAGTAGTTTTTAACAAATTTCTCCTTGTAGATGCACCAGATAGAAATAAGAACCATCGATCATTTTTCGCCATAAGCGCCCCCTTTCATTTTACTCGAACACTTCCTTAACCCTGTAATTTTTTGTGCAGTTGCTCCTCAAGAACCAGTTCCAGAAGTTGAACCAGCTCGAGATGTAAAACCTGTTCCAGTAGTTGAATCGGTTCCAGAAATCAAACCAGTTCCACTAATTACAGAACCAGTTCCACTGATTACAGAACCAGTTATTTATGAAAAAAATGAAGCAAGGTAAAAGCTGGGTACTTATTATATGAACTTTAATTTTCTGAACTCATAAAAAGGAACACGCGTGACAAAAACTCCATTTTCAAAGTTTTCTACTTTAACTATTGGATCTGCAGTGACAACCAGAAAACTTCGATAAAGGAAGACGACTTTATAGCAATACTTAAGATGTATTTAATGGTGTTAAAAAGCAAAAAGTTTTACTAAACACTTATTAAATCACTTATAAAGTGAAATGAGTCTGTTTACACTTAAAAAACTTCTGTGTCTCATGCTTATTGTACTATTTAAGGTCATAACTTGAGTCTAAAAGTCGTTTCCCTATTCCAGAGTTTTCTGGTTTTGCAATATTAAGGGTCTGTTACATCAGATTGCTAAAATAGAAGTATTAGAAAGTTAGAGTATAAGGAGAGTTTTTAGTTCCTTAGAAATGCTTAACCCTATTCCTGCTGGGGGGGGGGTCAATTTGACCCCCCCCCTGAAGTTTTTTTTACATAACTCAAAAAGTATTGGTCTGAGGCTGTTGAAATTTTCTGACATTTCTTACATACCCAAAGCCCTCCCTTTAGGCCTAAAACCGGGCTTTTCCCCAGCGTATCCTGGTTTTCAAGTACCCCAGCAGGGATAGGGTTAACTTAATGAGTCTGGAAAATGTTTTTTTTCGCGTTTCGAAATTTTTCATGTAATCTATACTAAATTATAGTTTAAAATCGTAAAAAAATATAAAAACCTTGAAATATGTTTAATTTATAAACAATGATTATTTAATAATTACGCCACCCTATATGTTTACAACCCTATATTTTTGCAACATATAGAACCAGACCTAGCTTTTTAACTTAAATTTTTTTTATATGTAAATATTTATATGTGAAAAAGAAAAAAATTGTAAAAAGGGAGCAACAATTTCGAGGCTTTTAAATCAAAGAATAAGCGATAGTCTCAAAGAAGACGTTTTAAAATTCACGAAGTCATGCCCAGTTCTTAATTCAGGATTTCCTTAGAATTGGAGAAAGAGTTTTGTTTGATGGTGAATAGGTATATTTTATACAAATAATTCTATAAAATTTTCCTATTATATTATTTGATTGTATTGATTGGCAAACATTCAAAATTTGCATCTATTTTGTAATTTCTGCGCCAAATATCTTTAAAATTCCATTTGACAGCTTACATTCACAAATGATCAATACGTTCAGAATAACAAACATGATAATTTTAGAGAACTTCATGTTAGCTATTGTAATATTTAAAGTATAGGTGACTCATGATAAAAACCTCCCCCAGTCTCACACCTTTATCTCTTTGTTCTTTTAATGAATGCGGAGTAGTTTATGAAAGTGAAGTCTTGCATTAACCCTCCAAGATGGGGGGCAATGATTGATCTTGATTTCCCTAGGATTTATGTCTGGGATTGTAACGATATCAAGGGATTAAATGTTACACTATTGCTATCTAATAATGGGGGGACTCTACACAAGGTATTATACATAATACAATTAAAAAACTAAACTAGTTCTTTAAAGGTATTGTAAACGTAAATTTAAAAAACACTTTATTTTTATAATGTCATGTCATATTTACAGTATTAGAATATTCTTAATAAATCTGATAATCTATGTGAATGAAAATTGGACATTAGAAAAAAATAAACTATAATTAAAAATAACACCGAAGGGAGTGTCAGCAAAGTCGTATGAAATGTAATACAATGGGAGCCAAGATGTGCCCGCTCTCAAGAGCAGTATTTTCCTTTTAAACTTAAACAGAAAGAAGATCGTTGCAGTTTTAGAATGTTCATGCCTTATGCTTTCAGAGTTGTGCAGATATCAGTTCATAGGTTACAAATATTAACTAAAAGATTCAGCAAAAAACTGTTCTCTACAGATTTGAATTATGGTGGCCTTTTTCTAGATTTGTTCGGGGTTCTGTGAGAACAGTTGATTTTGAATTCTCTAAACAAAATCATTTCACTAAAACAGAATCATCTCACAAAACCAAAAAAAGTTCTGTTCAACGCAATGTCAAAGACCTTGTGATATTTTAAACTATGAAATCTGTAAGATCAAATAATATTTGTTTGAAATATTAAAGGGTTACACTTTCAAATTCAGATTGCAGAGATATGGGGGTTTAAAAAGTTGAGTTTCTGGCAAAGACTCCATTACTTAATCATATATTTTGAACATATGTATTTCAGGCAAGGTCTTCGTAGTTTTGCTGGAATGTGCAGCAGACAAGAAGATATGCACAGAAATAACGCTAGGGCATTAGTTCATCATTTAGCCACTAGGTGCAGTTTTTCTGTGGTATTTTCAAAACAAAAAGCATTAAGAGTATTTTTTTGAAAAATTTTTAAAACTCGAATAAAAACGTAATTATAATGTTGTGGTACTATACTGATATTCATGATATCCAGGTGTGGTACTGTACGTTTATATTCATGATATCCAGGTGTGGTACTGTACGTTTATCTGATATTCATGGAATCCAGGTGTGGTACTGTACGTTTATCTGATATTCATGGAATTCAGGTGTGGTACTGTACGTTTATCTGATATTCATGATATCCAGGTGTGGTACTGTACGTTTATATTCATGATGCCATGGTGTGGTACTGTACGTTTCTCTGATATTCATGTTTTCCAGGTGTGGTACTATACGTTTATATTCATGATATCCAGGTGTGGTACTGTACGTTTAGCTGATATTGCTCAACCTGATGAAAACTGTACAGGCTGTAGCTGCTCAGAAGCTGTCAGGCCAGATTTCAACCGATCTAAAATAAAATTGAGTTTGAACTTAAACTTTCGATAATTATAGGAACTTTGGACGAAAACAATTGAGTTACTGCCACAATTTATAATTTTTTAATCCTGATGTCTTTGCAACCTAATTTCGAATACCTTAGATATTTCAACAGTGTTAGATAAAATAACCTAAGTTTGAAATATTAAAGGTTGAAATAAGATATAAGGATTATAAATTTTATTTTTTGACAAAAACTGAATTCCCTTGAAGCGACCCTTCAATTACAAAGTGGTATGCTGGATTCAGAATGAATTGTGAATTTGGTTCTTTTATAAAAGTGATCTACGGAAATATGCGACAAGAAGAAGGAGTAAAATTGACAGAATTCAACTCATTTGAACTTTTTATGTAACCAACAGTATCTTCCTTATTGTTGGTTACCTAATGTTTTAAAGGGTATCCCCTGCAAACATTCAGTCTCCCACAAACCGATATGGAACATATAAAGCAAATTATTTACTCGACATCTTCGCTATCAGCACATAATAGGTTAAAATGTTTCCCGGGTACCCTTGTGACTCAGTCATACATCTCTTTAACTGGACACAGGATCACTCAAAATTACAATCCTATTCAAAGATACTTTTGTTGACGTAATATGACATGAAAAGATACTGATAATATGATAAAATTCTGATTGTGCCGAATTAGTGGTGAATGATGCCAGGAGTTGAATCCTGTCTTGGCAGAGTTAGTTTAAAACTGGAGGAATGGATTCTAGAAAACATTTGTATACTTCACAAGCTTGCAGTACAGGTACATTTGTATACTTCACAAGCTTGCAGTACAGGCACATTTGTATACTTCACAAGCTTGCAGTACAGGTACATTTGTATACTTCACAAGCTTGCAGTACAGGTACATTTCCTGGATTTTAGCAAATTTAAGGAATTGAGTTTTTGCTACAAACTCTGATTTTCAAATACCTTTATCTTTGCAACCCAATGTCGTAGACCTTAGATATTTCAAACTATAATTCTGTTAGATAAATAATCTAAGTTTGAAATATCAAAGGTTTATACCATCAAGTTCTAAAGTTATAGGGATTCAAAAATTTGAGTTTGTTGCAAAGACTCAATTCCTTTGCAAAATAGTACAGTGAGGCCTAGAAAACTCTAGAATAGAAAGACGACTTTTAGGCTCAAGTTAAGACTTTACATAGTTCAATTATGAGACACAGCTATAATTGTGCAGTGTAAACAGACTTATTTGCAGTGTAAACAGACTTATTGTGCAGTGTAAACAGACTTTTTGTGCAGTATAAACAGACTTATTGTGCAGTGTAAACAGACTTGCTCTGTAGTGTAAACAGACTTGCTGTGTAGTGTAAACAGGCTTGCTGTGTAGTGTAAACAGACTTGCTGTGTAAACAGTGTAAACAACCCTTCCTTACAAACCGAACTACAACCCTTTGTTAACGACCGTAAACGAAAACTCTTCGTTAACGATCGTTAACGATCTTTCATAGAGAAAATGCATTTTTTGGTCGGAAAATCCGAGGTCAGAAACAACATCCATAACCTTATCTCTCTAAAAAAAATATTGAAATTAACTGTCATAAAACTAAGATTCATTAGCGAAATATTCTCAAAAAACGATCGTTTCACTTTTATTTTTTTAAACGATCGTTTTTTAAAAAACGATCGTTTAATTTTTATTTTTTAAACGATCGTTTTTTAAAAAACAATCTTTTTTGAAAGAGAGTTGGTCATTTTCTAAAACTTTAGTTTTTTTCCAAAAACGAATCGATCGTTTTAGGACAAAATGTAAACGAAACAAAATATTATTTTGATCATTTTTAAAAACGATTAACAACTCTAGTATATGTAATAAAATGTGTGATATAAGAAAACAGTGAAATAGGAAGACTTCATATTTAAATAATCTAAATGTTTCATGCTTATTGGACTATTTAAAACATAATTTGAGTCTAACAGTCGTCTTCCTTTTGTACAGTTAATAGGTCTGACTGTATATGTATGTCCGCAGATTAAGATTGAATGTAGGAAAAGGGTTGGATACAAAACATACATTAATGTAAATTCTGGGATAATTATGTGGTTACATGGCTGGCCGAGTCCCCGGTATAATAGTAAACCAATGTTTCTTTACACTAATTTATTCCCCCAGTAACATCTAGGGGTGTATGTTTCCCGCAAAAAAAATATTTTTTTTCACACCCATACCCTCTCAAACAAACCAAAACAGTTTTTTTGTTGAATTGGGTTAATAAGTGATTTAAGAGAACATTAAATAATTTTTTTGAAAAATAAATTTTTCTAAAATATATATAGCCCTGGTCACATCTGTTGACTAGGCCTGCAATTACAATGAGTAAGCATTCACTGAAGCAAACAAAAACTCAGGGGTTTATGTTTTCTTGAAAATCATTTTTTACCCCCCCCCCCCCATCCATGAAATTCATTTAACTCTCTGAAAAATAGGTATTTTGGGGTTTATAAATTCACTTTTTTGAAGAAAATAACTAGTTGTAAGGGGAAAACAATCATATTATTTTGGTAAAAGTCTTAAAACAGAATGAAGGTAAAAAAACCATTTTCATTTCCATAAACAAATATTTTTTAAGTACGGTGCTAATCAGAAAGATTGGGAATAAATTTACAATAAATTAGACGAAACTCAAATTTTTCAAATATGACGATAATCACAAAATAGCCCTTTCCAAAATGTGGACTGCCTTTTTTCAGCATTTAAAATTGCCAGAGATGTATCTGTACAATCGCCTGAGTAACTGACAATTAATTCCAATTAAATCTGATTATGACTGTATATATAACCTCGGTAAAACAAGACAAATCTAATTTTTCACTCTCAGGATTCCATTGAATGGAAGTTAGATGGATTACAAGAAGAATCCAACCTAACATGATTAGACTTTTTGGACAAAAACAGACAATTCTCAATTTGCTTTCTTGTTTCAGTTCAAGGACTAGAGATCCTGGTTTTTATCTTCAGAATACACATTGCATCAATCCAGTTTCCTAACATTGTTTTTATCTTCAGAATACACATTGCATCAATCCAGTTTCCTAATATTGTTTTATCTTCAGAATACACATTGCATCAATCCAGTTTCCTAATATTGTTTATATCTTCAGAATACACATTGCATCAATCCAGTTTCCTAA